GATATGAGTCATAAAAAACAGAGCAGCATTATTGTCACCATTGATATGCTATTTCCTTAACAAGGTTCTATCTCATCTTCAGTATTTCAATTGTCATGTTTGTAGTGGTAGGGTTTCAAAAACAACAATACCATATTCAGACTATGATACGGCTTATTATTTCGAGGGAAATAATCATATACAGGTTGATAAGATGCTGACACAGGCGAAAATTACTTATCTGTGGTTTACTGAATTTCTTCATTCATACAGTGGCTCAAGTTCGGCCCTTTGTGGGAAAAAAAACTCCAGATTAGTGAGACTGAACCTCACTAATACAGAATCCAAAGATTCTGAACCATCAAAACTATCAAACCTTTGGATTCCGAATAAGTGAAGATCAATTGTTTAAGCCACTGACAGTTTCATTCTAGCTGGATAACTGAAAAAATATGATCCTATGTAAAACTGGGTTCATACAGTCTAAATTATATATATTGACCTTGGCCAGAGGGGTGCTTTTCCCACCTCCAAGTGGAATTGGTTGCTGTATGCATGATGCGCGAACACTGTCCATATATTTCTTTTTCCATCTTAGTCTTTCCTGAGGGAATAAAAGCTCCCATTTTCACATTACAGCTGCCAATTACCTGACTGTTGCTTAAAGGCATAAAACTTATAGTAGTGGTTGGATTGTGTATGCCTGAAAGGTGATTCTTTGTTTTTATATATATATATATATATATATATATATATATATGTAAAGTTAATGGTCAGAGTTGAATTAAACCAGGAGAGAGTAGTATTAAAAAGTACTCAATACACATATAAAAAGATAAAAATTTAACACACACATATATATACGTGTGTGTGTGCATGTTACTATTTTTAATCCATTCAAGGCCCAAGAGTCACTCAAAGTATGGGGTTACTGAATGAGGTTGTTCTATGTATGTAAGAGGAGAGTTAGAAGTGAAAATTATGAAGAGATCCAAGACTTGAAGAGGTTAAGATTATAATGATCAGAGGAGCATCTTCTCAGGAGTCTAGTATTTCTTGGGAAGAAAGTGCCAGAGTGGAACTTCCTTCTTAGCAATGGAATAGGAAGGAAATGAAATTGATTTGATTCTGTGTACATGGCAGAGTATGTCTGGACTGTTGAATTTTTTTTTTTACAGAACAATATGACCATATGACTAAATCCCTCATGAGTAAAATTACTGTTTATTCAACTTTAAACTTCTTCTCATAAGAAACTTTCTGACTCTTTCCTCTTGGGTGTATGCTTATATACCTATCTGTTGTCCTATGTATGCAAATCCTAAGTGCAGCTAGATTGACGAACTGTTTATATGTTGGAGGCAGCCCCAGACATTTAGTGAAGTCATGAATACTCTTTCCAGGTCAATTCATTGATGGTCTGGTGTAACACTGAGTTCAAAGTCTATTTTATCATCTGAGGTGAGCCCAGAGCATATTGGGGTCATCACAGAACAACTTCTCTTAGAATAAATGTTCCTTATTGAGATTAAGTTCTATTCAAACCATATATGGTATTTCCTGGCATCATACCACATATATATAAGGTGCCTCAGTATGGAGAAATGATGAGGGAGCTTTGTCTGGTTGAACATTTACTCAGTAATGAGTTCCATCCACATTGGGTGCTCTATAAAAATTCAACATTAAATAACCTAACAAGAATTGATGTAACAAAAATCAACCAATGAAACAACCCATAATATATATATATATATATATATATATATATATATATATATATATATAAACCTAGTGAGCCAGACAAACCTACCTAGGTTTCACCTAAACGGATCGTCAGGGAAAGCCAGCTAAAGAGGCAAAGGGAAACGCATATTTATAGGCAAGACAAGAAAATGATAAAGACCCCATCCTTAAATAGGAAATATTAAAAAAAATGCCCCAAATATAAAGCAGGCCAAAAATTTTGTAAATTATGTACAGAGGATAAATTAGCCATAGCTTTATATAATCAACCTAACCAGCTATTAAACTCCAAAAACGAAATTCTTAACATATGTAGGCATAAAAAATCTTGGTTACTAAATTAAGACAAATTTCCCAGTTTATTTGTCATTCCACCTTAATGTTCGTATTTTAATATCCCCTCCCCTTTTAGTTGAATAAATCTTTAACTCCCCCCACCCAGGTGGTTTTGTGTTTGTGTTTTTCTTTCTTTGGTCACATGGTATAATTTTGGCTATCGCCTATAAATATGCGTTTCCCTTTGCCTCTTTAGCCGGCTTTCCCTGACGATCCATTTAGGTGAAACCTAGGTAGGTTTGTCTGGCTCACTAGGTTTATCTAGGTCTGCTCTATGGTTGTATTGAGCTATTTTGTTAGTTTACTCATATTGGGGTTTTTTCTTTGGGCTTCAAACCTGTATCTGTGCGATTTTTTCGACAGACTTTCATGTTTCTAGCTCTTTCTTTTTTTAAAAACATTTTTTCCTTTGAGATTGATTTGATTATTGGCAAATCAAAAATTTGAGGGTTTTTCGAAACAAGTATAGTTACTATATATATATATATATATATATATATATATATATATATATATATATATATATATTATTTCTGCCACAAAGTAAAAAAAAGGAAATTCTACTGTAGAAACTGGAACGGAATTGCGTCTTCGGTTCAATAACCATAAAAAACATTAGGGACATCAACAACAATTTTCCTGTTGCTTCACACTTCAACCAACCATTTTATAGCATCAATGACATTAGATGCATGCTTTTAGCACCTTCATTCAACAGCCAACAAGAAAGACACAGATCAAAGTTGAAATTTATTTTTAAAATAAATTCACATATTGAGGGATTAAATAGGGATTTGGGTTTACTCAGAGAGTATAATTTCAACTGGGAGACCTCTAACCAACAACAACATTCCTCAGAAGACTAAGTCCCACTTCTTTGTCCCTCATATCATTGAAGAACACAGGTGTGTTCAAAAGTTCTAACATTAAAATCTTTTCTTCATGCTTCAATTTAGTCAAAAGGTTATTATATATATATATATATATATATATATATATATATATATAATATATATTAATTTTATTGCCAATATTGGTATCATTTTGTTGGCTTTTTATTTTTTAATTTTAATAATCAGCCTTTATTCATTTATATATATATATATATATATATATATATATATATATATATATATATATATATATATATATATATATATATTTCAACATTATTTATAGTGGATACATGTATTTGAGTAAACGCTCCATTTATTTATTAAACAGTATATTTTTTTTTTTGCCCACTAGCTTGAATATTCAAGAAATCTTATTTGAGAAAAATATGTGTCCTCTGGCTTTGTTTATGTTAAGATATGAAAGTGTGCAGATATTTCAAAAGTCAGAGAAAAATCTTTTCAACTTTGCTTGGTTGTCGACACACTCTGTGGCTGACAAGTCAGGGCAAGTTATATCTGGTGATGGTTTCTCCTAAGGGAGCACAGATTAATATCCTGTCAGAAAGTGTATGCTTAGTTCAACATATTATTTAAGATTTTGCTATTTCTTACAGATATCTGATAAATCTTTTGCTAACAGTGGACCCTCATAATGTAATGGATCCCAAAAGAAATTGCACTGTATTTGAAATGAGCTAGTGCATGTTCTCTTCATGGTGGTGACCATCTCAGAGATCTAATAATCAAATCTTAGATAATATATTGAACTCTTGAATATTAGTTATGTAATAAATATATTTAGTGTCATTTTTATAATCCAGTATAATTGTATTTAAAATGTGTCCAATCATTATGGGGCACTATATATATATATATATATATATATATATATATATATAAGCAAATATATAGATATAGATCCAACAGTATGAAGAAAAATATACAGAAAAAACAAACAAAAATCTTAATATTAACATTAATACAGCATAATTGCATATTAAGATTTTTGTTTTTTTTTTTATATTTTTTTTATATATATATATATATATATATATATATATATATATATATATTAAAATATAGTTTATGCTCTATATATGGGTTAAAGTGCTCAATATCAAGAATGGAGCATATGTGAATATAAAAAGTGGACAGTGAAGTCAACACCCTGAGATGACCGTCTGTTTCCTGTTAAATGTAATCATTGAGTTTAGCATGAAACAGACTGTCACCTATGGGTGTTAACTTCAATGTCCACTTTTATATATATATACATATATAAAATCATGAGAGTTTTGATGTGAAACTCTTGAGTCGGCTAACCAAATAAGTTATTAAAACTTTTCTTGATTTATTGAATATATATAAATTGAGAGAATAATATATATATATATATATATATATATATATATATATATATATATTGGCTCCTGAAAAATTAATTTCAGTTGAGCTCTCTGGGGAGGAGGTGGATTTGTAAACAGTGACTATTATAGCTATATAGTGAGACTCTTCGCAAAAGCGAATTGAGTCACTGTCGGTCACTGGGTGTGTTTCTAAAAATAAATACGCTAAAAATCCACCTTCATCCCTACTGTGCACCGATGGCTTAGTGGTAGAATCTCCGACTGACACCAATTCAGTCAGATTTTGATCCTAGCTAGAGGCAACCGGATGTCTAGCCACACTGATGAGCTGTGAAACAGCGAAACAGTCTGTCTGTGGATGACGTTATATATATATATATATATATACACACATGTGAGATTGGATCAGTAAGTCTGTTACTTTATGTAGTAGTTTTTGCTGAAATATTTGTTATGTAAAATACATGATTTTATCATTTGGCTAAAGACTTATTGATATACATGCATATTTACTACTGAATTTTGTGCATTAACAAGTCAACAAGGAAGGAGATTATGTTGAAAATTCAATATTTGTTGTGTAAATAAATGTTTTTTTTATCATTAGGCTTACTGATGTACAATGGAATAATGAAAAAAGAAGAGCAAGGTAGCAATAAAACAACTCTCCACTTACCATTCCTCGTTCGTCCATGTCAGTCAACATGACAATTACTCTTCCCTGTTGTTCCCACACCATTCTCCAGAAGTCTGCTACAGTACATTCCAGAGGTGCTTGTGTTGCTATATAGGCTTTTTTTTCTTCGTTGGGGCCCTGAAATGTGTAATTATATTTCTGACTCATTGGCTGAGATTTTTAAGAGGGAACTTTACAAATATGAAAACATTCTTACTGACAAAATTGATTAAAACTTTCTGAAAAGTTTACAACATTTCACAAACTGCCAAGATGAATATATTTTTTTCTCTTGAAAACAAAATAATGAAATTGTTCTCAGTCCCTGTTGACAAAGACACAACATAATTTTCTTCTCTCTCTCTCTCTATATATATATATATATATATATATATATATATGTGTGTGTGTGTGTGTGTGTATTATAAGGCCTGTGTTGAAAGACTCCAGGATATTAATGAAAAAAATTCTCCCTAGGGCAATGGTAACTTATTTCCTTTCAAAGTATTTCTCTTGGAACCTCACACACTTATCACAGTTTATCTGTCACCTTTTTTAGGATTGCCATCTTTTGCCTTGCCCCATTCTCCTTAATCCTTAATTTTATGTGTGCCCTGAAAATCTCATTTCAATGTTTGCAAGGGGCTAAGTATGAACTATAGAAGTCTGAGAAACTTGGGTGATATGATTTTTTTATCAAAACCTTGCATGTGACACCATTTTGAATGTGACTATCACACAGTATTCATTAGCATCTCATTGTCGAATGCCTAATCTCACAGGGAAGTGTTTGTTCATGCATGTGCCATAAGGTCTCCTCTGATTGATAGCCAAGTTACATCAACCAATTCTTGAAATATTCAAAATAGCTTGATAACTTTTGAACAAACCTCATGATTGTCTACAAAACCTTTAATACCACAAGTAGGATCTGTGGACTAAATAGTTAAAAAGTTTCCTTCACTCTGACAAAGCAAATCTCAGCAGTAAGGAAGTAAAATGAAACAAATAAATAGTAATGGTGAATTTAGCAGGTTTTTTACAAGGAAACATTCCACATTCATCTATCTATATCTATAAAATTCTGTGACTTCCATTAGTCTGTCTGTCCATCACACACTCTAAAATAGTCATACATTGACTGATTGAAACCAAATTTTGGGGAGAAGTGCAAACAGGTAAGAGGGTACAAAGTACAGTTGGTTTTACTAGGCTGTGTAGGTTAGTACAGTAAATTTTCATTAATTTTTCAAAAAGAATTAAATGGTTTGCAAAACTGAATGAAAAGTAGAGTTTGTAAATCTTGACAAAAAATGTTAGCAATAACTTCAACAATACTAAATACTGTGAGGATTTTAGCATCAGCATGTTGCAGAAAATTCTAGTTGATTAAATAGTGTTTCTGTCAGTTGACATTTATAAAATCTTTCTCTTAAGAATTTCTCAAATTCATTAACTGTTATTGCTCTTTCCAGTACTGACAGGAGTTTCCTTCCAAAATTTTTCTTTAATGAACTGTTGGAAATCTTAAAACTGTCAAATGATGTGCAATTTCTTTTATTTTTGGTCATTTACTTTGATTGAGATACTTTATCAAAACAGAAAATGAATATCAACATTAGTTTAGATAGACAATAATATTCAAAAGCACAAATGTTGGTAATCATAAAAATTAAAATATGAAAGACTTTGAAGATATTGAAACATTATGTAATTTTGAAAAGAGTTGTAATCATTAAAAATGTTGTTGAGATAAATAGGCTCAATTTTTTTTTTTTTACTTTTGTTCTCATCTGAACAATAACCATGAAATTATTTATAGAAAAGGTAAAAAGAGGCAACCTTAGGGTGGTGGGAAAGTGATTGAATCTGAGATGACAGATTGGGGCCAATAATATTGCTGATTCTTCTTTGGATTTCATCAAGGAGCTCTAGATAAATAGCAGGAGCACTGAGCTATATGTGGCAGCAATATTCTGAGCATGGATGTATGGTAGCCATCGATATGAAAGATAGACACTGGAGAGAAAAATCATCTAGCACGACACAGTGAACCAACCTTCCTAGCAGCTGATCTAGCCAAGAATGTTAGCCCAAGAAGACACAGTGAGTCACTTTCCTGGGGGTCAGTATCAGCCATGTTGATGACAGACAGAGAGGGTTCTCTCAGATGATTAATAGAAAGCAGTTTAGTATTGGTGGTGTTAAACTTAAGAAACCATTCTTTGCCCTAGTTAACAGCAGACTGAAGCTTGTTTTGAATATCAGCTACCATTTTGATCAGACTTTCTATTGAGACAGGAGTAAATGCTTGTGTCATCAGCATAGGTACCAAGTTGAAAGCTGATGCCATCAGGAAGGTCATTAATGACAATCAAAAATAAAGTAGGACCAAGGATGGAGATCTAGGGGACACCTGCATTAGTATAAAAGGAACTGGAAGAATGGCCATTCAGGATTACTTTTATTTCACAATTTGATAGGAAAGATTTGATTGGTTCAAAAATTTGACCAGCAACACTGTAACTTTTGAGGCTTGTTAAGACCTGCATGCAAAAACCTGTTGAAAGCTTTCAGTATATCCAAAGCTATAACTCTAGCTTCACCATTCTTATCTAGAGCTTGATAGACTCTTTCCACAATTATTGTCAGTACATCGGCAGTTGACCTGGAGAAATGGAAGCCATATTATTGGGCTTTATTTTTACCATGGTAATGGTAATATTAACTGTTACCCTAGAAGGAAACATTTGGCAGTTAGTACTGTTTTTAGCTGAATTTATAAAAACTTTCATTTAAAACACTTTTTAGAAAACCAGGTTTCTCAAGTTGAGTTGCTTTCACCGCTCTTTCCAGCATTGATGGGGGTTTCCTTCCTAACCTTTTATTTGAAGTGGTGTAGAACATTAACATCTTGATTATGTCATTCTTTTGTCTTTGAGTTATATGTGCTATCCATTTTAGTTGTTGTTCCTCAAGGTGATGTGGTTTCTGTTATTTGGTGCAGTTCTTTGTTTATGATTCTGTAGCACCAGACCACAATGTCTGAGAAATCACTGAAAATAATAGAACCATGTATCTAACCTTAAGTCCAGTCCAGTACGCTAACCAGTAAACCTTTTCTTTGGGTAAAACTCAGAAATGACTCAACCATATGTCTAACAGCCTCAGGCCCAATTCTCTAACTAGTTAATTTTTTTTCCTTGACAATGAAATCTGAGAAATGAATTAAATAAAAGAACCATATATCTATAAAAGACTCAAGACCAATACTCTAACCAGTGAATCTTTTGGAGTGAAAGTAAAACCTGAATACAATTAGTCAAGTGCAAATAAAACTAGACTCTAGAATATTGGTTTGCATTAAACTCTTAGAGCAATTCCTGGCAGCTTTATGATAGTTGTAAAATTACAGTTGGGAATTAGCAGTCATAAAATAAGCTAGGTCTCTCTACATAATTAGATTTGCAATGAAAGATCCCTGTGAAAGAAGCTGTTAAAGAGAGATCAGTCATTTCTTTTTCATCATTACTTTGTTGTCTTGAGAGACCCTTCCAAAGTTTGAGATTGATGGATCATGTTTTTTTCACAAAGTAAAAGAAAAATCCAATTCTTGACCTGAAGTTCTCTGACATACAAGTAAAACTGACACTCAGAATACAACTATTAACATTTAGTTAATGTCCTGAGATTTTTCTCAGAAACAATTTTTAATTGTATCTATTTTCTGAATTTTTGAGACAAAATAGTATTAATATTATACATTAAATCATTCAGAGGAATTTCCTCATCTTTGTTGTTTTTATCACATTTCTGATCTGGTGGTTTGGCTTCAGTTACTTTCCCACCACCGTAATGTAGCTTCCCTGTGTCTTTTCTATAAATACCTTCATGGTAATTGTTCAGATGATCTCTTCACTGTGGTACCTAGACTTTTTGAATTTAAGCGCTATACTAAACTGATGTTGAGATCCAAGGAAAACCTACAAAACAGCAGGGGTTTGAATTCAGATTTTTCTTTCTCTGAGATGGATTAGCTTCACTACCACTCAGGAAATTAATTTTTTTAAGTATATCAGTTTAAAACTGCTGCTTTCCTTAGACACAAGATTACAAGACAATATTACATTTTAAAAATTTAAGCACTGTACTAGACTGGCATTGAGATCTCATCAATTTATAGTTGAACTGGCTATAGATGTAACCATAAATTCTATACTAACTGTTACTTTTATCACACTTTTCACTTGTGGAACTCCCTTCTTGCTCCATGTTTTCCAGCTAACTTTAATCTGCAAAAATTTAAATGCAATGTCAATTGCTATCTGCTGTCCTCCTGATTACTCTTTTCTATTCCCTCTCATTATTAATATTTCTGTTCTAAATTATTTGACACCCAGTATCCCCTTTTTTGTCTTTTCTGCCTTGCATTGGGTGAAACTAATTACAAAAAAAAAATTGATTCATTCAGAATTGTTTTCTCATCTTTGCAGTTAATGTCACTATATTTTGGTTTCTGCAATTTCCATCTATCCTGTCTCTTACATATATTATCCTTCCAGGAATATTCTACAAAACCATTCATTTAATGTATGGCAGTATAAAAATAATTTCAGAACTTGTAATTCTTTCTCATACACATCTGCTTCTCAACTGACAAATGAATTGTGTGTCATTGTTACAGCATCATATGTGGCTCGAACTAGTGCTTGGGTGACTAAGGTCATTGTTCTCTAGTGACTTGTACCAGGGGTGTCACTAATGGTAGCATTAGTCTTCATAGCTGTCTTCAGGTCAATATCACAAATTTGCACTGTCTGTTTCTTAAAGAAAGTCAAATCAGCTGTATTTTCACCAAAAGAAAGGTTTTCTTGTAGTAATAAATAGCACAATGCATGGTTCATATTGGATACTTTTATTGTCCCTAGTAGATAAATTTTGTCAACTATTTGTTAGCAAGAGAGTTGGGGAAAGTGAGTGAGAGAATTTTCCTATACCAACTATTTGCCAAAATTCACACTGAAAAATTTTGAAGGAAGAAATTTTTTTACCTGGAAATTTCG